TTTTTACACATAGTTTTAAAAACAACTATGGTTCTTGTCTTGAAATTATCTATAGAGGCAGAAGAATGAAGCAGAAATTGATCCTAGACCTGCTCTGCCACATGTTTAGAACAGAAGTCAACAAAGTAGAACCCCTGAGCCAAGTCTGGCCCACCATCTGTTTTGTCAATAAAGTTTTATTGAATCACAGCCCAGTTACTTATGTATTGTCTATGTCTTCTTTTGCTCTGTAAAAGCTGAGCTGAGTAGCTGCAATGGAGATCATACAGCCCAGAAAGTGCTGCTCCCTGCCCCGCCACAAAAAAAAAAAATTATTAACCATCCCTGATCTAGAAGAATTATTCAGCCTCAGTAGGTTTTAGCACTGACATCTATTCAATAATTTGAATCATACATCCCCTCATCCTCTAGCTCACAGGATATTAAGAGGCCCAAAGCTGCCTCTATAAAATCTTTCTAAATAATACTCTGTTATCTACACCCCTATTAGAATGGTCAAAATCCAGAGCACTGAAAACACCAAACACTGACAGAGACGTGGAGCAATAGGAACTCTCATTCACTGTGGCTGAGGATGCAAAATGGTACAGCTCTCTTATATGACAGTTTGGTAGTCTCTTACAAAACTAAGTATACTCTAACCATATAATCCAGAAATAACTCTCCTTGGTATTTACCCAAAGCAGTGGAAAACATATGCTCACACAAAGTCCTGCATGTGAGTGTTTGCAGCAGCTTCATTGATAATTGCCAAAATTTTGAAGTAACCAAGATGTCCTTCAATCTGGTGAATGGATAGACTGTGGTACATCCAAGCAATGCAATATTATTCATCGATAAAATGAGCTATTAATGAAAAGACACGTTGTTGGCACTTTAAATGCATATTACTAAGTGAAAGAAGCCAATCTGAAAAGGTCACGTGCTGTATGGACCCAACTATATGACATTCTGGAAAAGTCAAAACTATAGAGAAAGTAAAAAAATCAGTGGTTTCCATAGGTTTGGCGGCAGGGAGGGATGAAGAGGCAGAACACAGATTTTTAGGGCAGTGAAAGTATTCTGTATGATACTATACTCATGGATATTATTGTCCAAATCCACAAAATATACAACATCAAGAGTGAACCCTAAGGTAAGCTATGGACTCTGGGTGATGATGATGTTTCATCCATGCAGGTTCATCAAACCCAACAAATGTACCACTCTAGTGGGGGAACACTGATATTGGGGGAGGCTACATAGAGGGTATAGGGGAAATCTCTGTGCCTTCCACTGAATTTGGCTATGAATCTAAAACTGCTTTGAAGATTAAAGTCTACTTTTAAAACTTATGAGTTAATGATATTGTGAAGGTCATTAAGAGCTATTCACCTACTGTTTCCAGTTTGCACCTTCTGGACACCTCACAGAATTTCAGTTCCTTGCCCTGGGACCCTAACATGTGACTAGGTATGGCCACAGTGACTGTATCACTTCCAAGCTGAAGCAACGCCTTCCAGATCTCTATCTTTCCTCTGACTCAACTATGGGCAAATTCAAGCTTGGGGCTGCCCCTAGTGACTGAAATGAGCAGAGCCCTCCTCACCCCCTCCTCCTCTACTGACATCTGGTGGACAAACCGCAGGGTAAAAAATAAGCCTCTCTTATTCTAAACCATGGAGATTTGGGGGTTGTTTCTCAGCAAAATCTAGCTTTTCTTGGCCAACACAGAGATGATCAATAAACTATGTTATTACATTTGCAAAACTGTGACTTCTCCTTTCCCTACCCTACTCTCCAGTTCAGTCAAAGATGAGGCATGTTTAAGGAAGCAATGTTGACCCAGCCATGAATTTCAATCTTTACTCACAAATAAAAGAAGTCTGAACACTTAGTTCATGAAAACTTGTACTAAAATCTTGATTTTCTATTTTCAAGTACCTAAAAATTCCAAGGAGTCTCTTTTTCACACCTTCTTCCCCTAAAATGTCTCTTACTTGTGCCAGTCTGTCAAGCCATGTTAGTTCTACCTTCAAGCAGTAAGTAGCCTCCCCAGAAGGGGTGAGGGTTCTTCTTTCTCCCTGATTAATTTTCTCTCAAGAGTCACAGCCTTTGTCCCCTCCTCAGTGAGCACAGAAGGAGACTGATTCTAACCAAGTAAAAAAAGCCTGGAGAAGGTTCTGAAACCCCACAGGTAAAAATGTTTATCTCACTGCAAATCATCGTCACCATTTCTGCGAATGTCCGAGTTTCTCTGTTACCATCTCTTGTTTTCTTTCCCAACTGGTTCAGAAATTATGCAGAAAGCAGGAGGTTATTTTCTGGGGCCACTCAAACCCCAACACAGGCCAACTGGAATTCTCCCAGGAAGTTTCCGTAACAACGGACCAATGATCACACACTAGCCGTTCGCTTTGCGGGAGGGTCATGGGTACTGTGACAACCTGGGAGAGTAAGATGGTAACACCTAGACGCTGCCTCTCGAAATGATCTCTTCCATTTACTGCTCCTTCCTGACACTGTCAGGTTTGCAGAGCAATCCAATTCTCATACAAGGTCAACACTTTTATGTCCTGTATGCGAAGGGCTCACGGAACCCCCAGAGTAACCTGAGTCTCTATGGCAGGGTTCCAACTGATTCTGGAAAGCAGGCCCCACCCCCAGCCACACTTCAGCTTCTTCTACTTTTATCTTCCCAGCCAAACCTAAAATCTCTCTCTGCTGCACTGATACCACAGGAAACACACGACTACTTGTGGTTTAGCAAAAATACATAGGGAAATACTGGCTGCAGTTCTCCTGGCAGTGTCACATGATTCTAGCTGCTTCGTCCTTCTGACACATGACTTCGACTTCTTTCCAAGGGTGCACATTCAGATGTTAGAGACGTGTGGTGACACACGTGGAACAGCAGTTTTAATCAAGTCACAGCATTTACTTCTGGGCTCTATTAAACCATGTTTGATTGGCGAACCCCTCTGTTCCTTAGGTGCACAACAACCACTTTCGGGGTTATCAACAAATTCAAGTGGTGGCACCAGGGCTCATCTGCAGCTTTTTGATTATAAATAACCATCAGGAATCTTGATTCACTCATTCAGTCCAGTAGGTCACTGAGTCTTGCAGCAATGTCCCTCGAGACTCTTCTTCAGAGTTCTCTACTCTTGCTCTTGGTCAGGCCCACAGCATCTCTGGTCTGCACAGCAGAAACAAGTACCTGGTCCTCCCACTGCCAGTCTCCACCCTCTGACGCCAAGGCCCCTGTGATCACTGGGGAAAACCAACCTGATTGCCTTACGACTGTCAGCACAGTGGATAAGAGCAAGTATCTTAGTTTCAGATAAGACCGAGGGTCAAGTCCTGACTCTGCTGCCAGCAAGGTGAGTCCTTTACACACCCCAGGTTCTGCTCCCTTCCCCACCAGAGCTGGGGAAGACTGAGTGGGACAATACACATAAGACTCGCAGCATGGTGTTTTGTCATCCAGTAAGTGCTCAGTAAATGTTTATTATTATCAAATGTTCTGAGCATTGGAGGCTTTGCAAATTCTGATCACAACAGACCTTTCCATTCCATCTCCCCCCAATCCACACATTAGATGTGACTCTTTTGCCTAAAGGGTCTCACCTTGTGCTCTCCAGACCCTGCTGATCCACATACCCAAGTGGACACTGGAAATTCATTTTAACTTTGAGCATGCTTATCCCCAAAATGTAAAAAAAAGAGTAGTTGGAGTGTCATGTTTTCAACAAAGTTTTTCATGAGGAGACAATACTCTAAAATTACCCATCGCGATGGCATGTTCCTTTCTGCAACTGGTATAACTTTTTGATGTCTAATCATCTTTATCTTTAAGAACAAAGGTCACGTTTTTCCAAGCTAGCGTATTGCTAACTTAAATGCCCACGAGGGTGCTCTTCTCAGACTCACCAGAAGGGGGAGTGCCTGCATAAAGTAGGGAGCTCTAGCACTCCTTCACAAGGGGACAGTAATTTGTTCCAGAATTCATAAACCAGTGACACTAATTTTTTAATAATTGCCAGAGGCTCAGAAGGTAGAAGTCTCTCAGCTCTCGCAGTTCTTCATCAACACTTGTCATAGCACAGCACAGTAAGCCCAGGCTTACTGTGTTTATCATAATGAATTCTTCTGTGATTTGCACAGATCTGAATTCTAGTTACAGGCTAAAAGACCTGAGTTACCTGAATTCCAAACTGCCGACTATTCCTACACATGCCCCATTTCATTCCTGGTAGAACATGCAAAGTGGGAGTGTCACACACTGCTTAGCAGCACAGACTCTGTCTGGAGCCAGGCCACCTGGATTCCAATCCTGCCTCTGCCATTTGCAAGCTATATAATTTTGAGTAAGATGTTTAATTTCTCTGTGCCTCATCTCCTCGTCTATAAAATGGGAATAACCATGGCACCTGTCTCTCAGGCTTTTGTGAAGATTAAAAGAATCAATATGAGCAATTAAAAGAGTGTCTAGGACACAGTGGATACTGCATGTGATTTTGCTACTCCTGCCATTAGTACTCTCATTAGCAATTGTCCTGAAGCATCCCAGACAAGAAAAAGAGGAGAAGGTGCTGAATCTGTCACCCTGAAAGCAGCTCAGCAATGGAAACCCTGTCTGGGGCTTCCACCCTACTTGGAGTCAAAGCCCCCAGCAATAGCCACAGGAGAGGAAGAGGTGGTGCACACTTCAGAACAGAAAGGGTTACTTATTTACCCTACATTTCACATTCAGAAACTCAGGGTGGTTAAAACCCCTAAGAAAATATATAGCTCTAATAACTGCTGATGATTCATAAACAGCCCCCCAGGGGACCCCCCCACTGTTGCAGTTGTTACTGATGGAAGACCTTGACAGGGCCCAGAAATACAGCTCTGACACCCAAAACAGTCTGCCCACACTTCACACACACCCCCACTTCACCGCACGGTTTCCACACTCCCCACAGGGAGAACGCTTTCACACCTCTGCCGTTCTTACAAATGTCTGCCCCTGTTACCTGAGTTCGTTTTTATGAATTTCTGCTATTTTTCTTTCCAGCTTCTGTGACTGCTTAGGGAAGATCTCAAACTCACTGATGTAATTCTCAGGATGCTCATCAGGATCGTAATCACCAAGCTCAGCTGCAAGCAGTAAAAAATAAAGAGAGAGAAAGAAAGATCAAAAAACAACAACAGGATGCACATGAAAGGGCTCCTGTCACACAAAAGAAGAGCTTGGAAGGGGCTCACCCAAGGAAATGTTCTTGTATCCATGGAAAGACCACAGCCTGAGAGTCTAGAAGCTTATGTTCAAGTTCACATCTAACTGTGTGAGCTTGGGCACTTGCCAACCTCTCTGAGTCTCATTTCTTTATCTATACAATAAAAGGGATTTCAGTCATTATCTTTCCATGGGGCACTATTAGGGTCAAATAATTCTTTCTTGTTTGAGACCTTCCAAGATGTAGTAGGGCACTTAGTACGCCTACCCTTCAGGTACTAAGTGCTAGTGGCACACCCAGTCATTGTGACGACCAGAAATGCTTTCCCCAATATTTCCAAATGCCCCCAGGACAGGAGGCAGTACACACCACCTCCAAGAGGAAACCACTGAACATCCCTCGAGGTTTCTTTCACAGCTAATTTTCTCTGAGTCTAGGAGTTCCCTGGCTGAAGCTGCCTGCTCTGAGATTTCTGTAGGTGTGGCTTACTCAGTGAAAAATCACAACATGAAGGCACCCAAGAGGATTGCACTTAAAAATAAATGGATTGCTTTCAAATTAAAGAGTGTGTGTCAAAGTATGAACAAGTGCACCAGATTAAGGTTGTTGCTGGATTCTAATGTAGGGCACCTCCAGAGTGTCTTTAAGTATAAAAAGGAAATGCATACACATCCCTGAGCACCCAGAGGTTCTAGGAGAGGATGGACCTAGATGTGCAAGGACCACGGCCTGGAGAAGCAAAGGCGATGTTCTGGCAGCCAGAATACATTCCACTGGATTCCCTGAGTGTGGTAAGGAAAATGAGGGGAGAAGGGGCAAGTATCTCAGGCAGAAAGGGCCCAGAAAGCAGATCAAAGATAGTGAGAAAATGGTATTAGAAGAACTTGGTCACTAACACGACTTTGAAATAGATTAAAAAAAAATCAAGATGCCTTGAGTACATTTGCAAAATCACATACAACTCTGTACCCACTGTCCCTCCATTGTTGAATCATCTAATTACCGTAAAAGGACAAGAAAGCTAAGGGAAGAAAGCTAAGCTCCTTAAAGCTTCTTAACAGAATTCAAACTACAAATTTCTTAAAACAACCTAAAATGTATAACACATGGGGAAGAACTTTTAAAATAAGACTCAAATTCCCATCAACCATAAGCGGGAAACTGATTAATCTGATATCAAAGTTTAAATACTTCCATTCATTAAAGAACATCAGAGTCAAAATAATATGTGGCAAGTTGAAAGAATGTATTTGCAAAATTTAAAGCTAACAAGGGCTAATATCTAGAATAAACAAGAAATCCCTACAAATCAGTAAGGAAATAGGCAGGAAGACCAACAGGAAATTGGTCAAAGGATATAAACAGCCAGCTCACAAAAGGGGAAACCCAAAGGGCTGGTACACGAAGAGATGCTCAGGCTCATCCACAATCAGAGCTTTGCAAACCTCAACAACTAGGCCTATGAGATGAACAAAAAGTTGAGGAAGGCAGATGATTTTATGTGTTGGCAGAGACTCAAGGAAATGGAAGTACTTGCACATTTCTGGAGGATTCTTAATGCATGTAGCTCTTATAGAAAACAGGTAGGAGCATTTAGTCAAATTTATGACCCAGCAAACCCATTTCTGAGCATGTAGTCTAGAAAAACTCTGGGTACAAAAAAGAACATGAAAGCACCATGAGCGTTCACTGTCAGTGGGAGGAATACATGTGGACAGTACACCCTTCCGGATACTCTGTAGCAGTTAAAGCAACAAGATAGATGTATGCCCAGTGGTGTAAAAGATCCCCCAAACAGTGTTCTGAGCATAAAAAGGAATGAGTTCTATTACCTCATTTAACTTATACAATTTAAGAGTATATATACACTAATCAATACTAATCATTTTATAAGGACGTGTGCAAAATCAAAGATCTGTGTGAACCCAGTTGTTGCCTTTAGGAATGGAAATAGGGAATAATGACAACAAGGAAATCAATCAATCCATCAATTGTCCCAAAGGGATCAATGATAAGAACAGATCATAAACAGATGATTAACTCAACATCAGTTTCAAAAGAAACACACACACACACCCCTGTGAGCTGGCTATGGACCTACAATTTAGGAGATGCAACCCAACACTTCCATTTCCCACAGAGAGAGGACCGCTGATATGACTGGGTCATCTTCACTGCAAATGTTAGCCTGCACAGTGGTTGGTGAGGGAGTGCTTGGTTTGTGCGGGGCCCTTCTCTTTACAGGAAACTTGGGAGGAACAAATGGACTTGTACTGCTCAGCACTACAGATGAGTAGCCTGGAATATGCTGGAAAACGAAGAGAAGAAATGCCCTGGACCCTGCACAAGGTTGCTGACCAGGTAAATGCCAACACCTCCCCCATCACGGGCCCTGCTTCCTTATTCTCAAAATCTTGTCTTCAAATCTCACTTCACCTGAAGCAAAAGGCAGTTTATAAATGATTGAGGATTTCCAAGTATTCAAATTTTTCTTTCCTTGCCAAAAGTTGCTGGGTAAGAGGCTTGTGGTTCTCTTTTCCACACATGACACTGAGGGTCAAGTTGTGACAAATGACCGACAATATGCTGGACAGCTGGTAAGGGAAAACAGGTCCTAGCACATTTCTAAGAGAATTAACTGTCAGGAATTAACCCCAAGAGCTGAAGCGAATGGATGAGTGCCATCGGGCGATGGCAAATAGAAAGGGTAAGCCTGGCAACGGCATTTCCCCTGGTGTGGAGAGGACTCGTTGCAAAAGAACTTGAGGTAAAGGACATGATGGCTTCAGGGCCAGCTCCTTGAGGAGCCTTCCCTGACTGCCCTTGCTGAACCAGGGGCCCTCCGGAGGAGGTCATAGCGGTGGGGGTGGGCGGTGTCTCTCTATTTAGCCATTAGCACTCATCTCAGTATCTATTTACTTGTCTGTCTCCCCACCCCACCCCCAGGGACTTTGTATTACAGTGCCTGCCACCTAGCCGATGTTCAATAAATGCTTAGAGAACAAATGAATGAGGTAGTGAACCAACCACTTTCTCCCAAGTATAGGAATAAAGCATACATTGGTGTAATTAGGCAAGTGTCCTGGTTCACTTAACATATTTAGTGGAGAACTTATGCCCAGCACAGGGGTATTACAGTGAAATGAGCCACCCAGAGACGCACTTTCCATGAAATTTAGGTTCTGCATGGTGGGAGTAGGAGGGAGGATGCATAATAAATCCAAAAAAACAACAAGGTCATTTCAGACCTAAGTGCTTAAAAGACAACAAAATGGTTGTGTGAAAGAACATTGTGATAATGGGCAGGAGGAAGGCTACTTTAGTAGTCCGGGAAGACTTCTAAGAGGAAGTTACCTCTGAACTGAGTTCTGAACATCTGGTAGGAGCCACCGAGCCACAGGGGTTGAGTACAAAAGGCAGAGGAGATAAGAACAAGAATCCCACCCTGTTGCTGTTCTGTAGAAAGAATGGGAAGGCTATTTTTACTGAGAGAGGACAAAAAGAGACCCCGAGGGTCCTGTGTGTTCATGTTGCAATTTGCATTTATGAAAGAAAAGGCGTGGCATGTGCTGAATACACCCGTGTGTTCAGCGTGTACAACTGGCAAAACCCGAGGCGGCTGCCTGTTTTTTATGCACTCAGAATACAGGGAAGCTGACAAAGCTCCTTCAAGGAGCAGTTCCTACAAAGCAGATCTTTATCTGCATCTGTAATGATCTCTTATCTGCATTTGTAATGATCTCTAGAGCTGCTGATGAATTGCCTCAGCATCAGAGAACATCATGAATTGCTTTTACTGGATTTGCTACAAATGGCTCATGGACACCACTGCATTTTTGAGCTGAAAAGACCTTTTTAGGTCACTAGTCCATTTGCAACCCTACTCTCTACACAATGTGTGTGTGTGTGTGTGTGTGTGTATGTGTGTGTGTGGTCAGTGAGAACAGCAATGAGGCCTCACATAGGGCTCCATCATTGGGACCCTGGATGGAGCCTCTGTGACTTTATTTCAGACATAAAACAGGATGGAAAATTTCCCATTACAGACCCATATTGAGCTTGCCTTTGAAGAACTGACCATTACTCACTAATACCTAAATGTGTTCTGAAATCCTCACATGTGGGCTGGCTGCTTGGATTAGCATCGATCCACTTTCCCTACAAAGATAATACTCCCTGACTAGGAACTTGCTGTCTTCACGGGAATAGGGAGGAACTATGTACGAGCTTTTTACCTCCCTTAGCTCTGATGTAAGAGAGGCTGCTTTTGGAAGCACATGCCCCACCTTCAGACAGTTGGAAGGACCTTTCCCATCACGGTATCACTGTTGTTCTGACTTTAAACATGAATATCTCCAAGGGTTTCAACACCTCTGCTAAACTCTGCTATGCAGCACTAGTGTGCTCCCAGGGGAAGAGGAAAATCAATGCAGACACATTCTTTAGAATTCTCAGAGAGCACACACCCGGAAACAGGGTCCTCCACGGAATTATCTCACAGCACAGAGCATCCATAGGGACATGTCTGCCTATCCACATCCCCTGGACAATGAGAGTCTCTCTCTCTCTCTCTCTGTCTCTCTCTCTCTCTCTCTCTCTCTCTCTCTCTCTCTTTCTCTCACCTCTCCCCTAAGCTGTGAATGAAGAAGCTTGGGACTGTCATCAGCAGATAATTGTCATTATTCCAGATCCTTTACAAGACTGACATGCTCACTTGGTTCTTGTTTCTCTTTCTGTTCTCCCACCTCCCCTCCCCTCCCTTCCCTCTCCTCTCATAAACATGTTATTAGCATTCATGCTCAAATGGCTGCATCACCTGGGTCCTTCTAAACATCCCCTGTGCCAGCTGCCTCCCAACTGACCCCACGGGAACAGAACACCTGAGTCATATGGCAGACTGTGAGCCTAATGCTCTCCTTACCACCCTACGTGACTAGAAAAGCTGAAGAATTAGATACAGTGTACATGTACCCACATGAATAAATGTGTGGGTGTGTGCGCACACGTGTGTGTTTTGACATTTCATTCAAATGTCTGAATTTACCTCTACCTTCCTGGACATAGTCCCCCCTTAGAACACTCATTAGGCCCCACAGCTGGCGGTGGGAGCTGCGAGCATGGAACACCCCACTGGCCTTCAGAGCTTCTCATGAAGTTGGGCATTCTGAGCTCTACCACAGGGCTTTGGGGGCCCCTTGTTTTTGCAGAGGCCCTGTGACCACCGCAGCCCAGTCTCCCACCAGGACCCCAGGGGCTTGTGAGGGAAGATAAGCAAGGGTCTGTTGCTGAGGACCCAGCCCTGCCAGGCTCCACACCATGGACACGGGTGGCCAGGCACAGGTGGGGCAGGAGGGGAGCTCTGAGCAGCCAAAGCTCTAGAGCCCAGTTCAACTCACCTTGAACAATACAGGCACCCAGGTAGGCAGCATCGGAGAAGGAGCAGAGCAGGCGACCATGGAAAATGTCTCTTTTAATCTGCAGGTACAAAAGGTACCTGCAATACAAAAGGAGAGAGTCACCCTAAGTTTTGGTGAAGGCCTGGGAGAGGTGGAAGGACTGTGTGTGCTTTATCCACCTCAATCACCTCACCGGAGCACCACCCAGCTCCAAGGAGTCTCGGAGACTTGCCAAGCCCCTGGGGAGGGCAAGCGGAGGGAAAGGGAGGGAGCTTCTGAATTCAGGAAATACGAAGTGTCTGTGTCAGCTTCCAAAGCTGGGTGATTGGCCCTTTTCAAATAAACACAAGAAGGACCAAGGAAAGCGAAGGGCCAATAGCCACTGTTCCTGGCGGGAAGTCCCTCCCACATAACGCCAACCACGGTCACTATCACCACCGTCACCCGCACCTCTGGTACGTGCTTCCCAAGCTCTGTGGGAAACAGCGTCAGGAAATGGATTCAATTCGCGTGCAGAGACTAGTCCGCAGGGCACAGACTCGCATTAATCAATCTCAAAATGACTTCATGATGAGGCCAGAAAGCCAATGTATCCATAACTAGAGCTGTCATCTATTTGGTGTCCTCCCCCTTCCTATAAGCACAGCAAACTCAGATGCCTACAGGGCCAGGCAAACCTGGTCATGAGTGGCCAGCTGGCGGAAGAGGCCGGGGACGCAGCATAGAGCGCTGGACCCCGTGAAGGGGCCAGCCACCACGCAGCTCCAGCCCCAAGCTGCTGCAGAGAAAAGCAGGCCAAAGGCACCAGAAAATCAAGGAGACTAGACTTAGAAGTTGTGAAAAAAGGGGGGGCTACCTGGGCAAGCACCACTGAGTGTGACTCAATGACTGAAAGTGACCACGTGGGTTGATTATAAGAAATTCCTAACTGAAGGGGTTATGGAGGGAGGGCACATTCTAAGGCCTAGACAATGGATTCATCTCCACCTCGAGCAAGCCCTGTCCATTGTTTTTGCACATCGAGAATAACATACTTAAAATGTCAGAGTGATCTCTTCTCCAGACTTCCAAAAGTAAACACCCAGTAGGGCGTAAGCCCAACATCCCTCATTGTCATGCTTACCCGCATACCTCCATGAACAATGTATGTGAAATGTTCACTGTCCTGCTCCCACCAATGTCAAAGAAACATGTCTCTCTCTCCATTTTACTTTTCATCCAGTCCTAGAGATTTCCATGCTTTGCTTTCTCCCACCTCCTTAATCTGCCACCAGTGGATTTCGTGGAAACCTTTCCTGTGTCTTCCCCTTTGATTCTAACACAGAAAATAAACTGCAAAACCACTGTTCTCTGGAACATTATCTCAATCCCTTGAGATTTTGCTTCTGGGACTAGCTCCCAAAACCTTGGCTCATCATAAACTCTTTAAACCTTTCTTTAGGTTAGAAATTTCTTTCATTGACAAAGTAAAATCCTGTGAATTTTAAATGTTGCAACAAATTTTGTTTTTAAAGATACTGTAGTGCCAAACAAAAAAGTCCACGTGCGCCCAGTTCAGCCAGGGGAGAGGGACATGCCAGGGTGCAAGCCCAGGCCAGGCTCACTCTGTCTGTCCCTCTCTCCTCCCCGACGACCAGGCCCCTCTGCAGACCTCCTTGCTTCTCTGGGCCAGGTGGATCCCTTCATTCTAGAGACTCAGACCTGGGTCTCTTCCTTCTGACTAAAGTAACGTTGCAGATGTGTGCAGATTCCTTTTGTGGTTATTTTAGAGTTTAAGTCAGAGATCAACCTTTTTACTTGGGATGGGGTGGGGACACCACTCAACCAGTCTCAGTAACCACTTAATCCAACCTTCATGCAGCCTGTGATTTGTCATATGCACAACCCCATTTATTTTATTTTATTTTAATTGTTGTTCAAGTATAATTTTCTATCTTTTACTCCCAGCCCAGCCCACCCAACCAGCCCTCCCCACCTCCCTCCCATTTCCACCCACCCCTAGTTTTTGCCCATGTGTCCTTATACTTGTTCCTGTAAACACTTCCCTTTTTCCCCTGAATCCCCTCCCCTCTCCCCTCTGGACACTGTCAGCCTGTTCTCTATTTCAGTGTCTTTGGTTATATGTTGCTTCTTTGTTTGTTTTGTTGTTTAGGTTCCTGTTAAAGGTGAGATCATATGGTATTTGTCTTTCACCGACTGGCTTATTTCGCTTAGCACAACCCCATTTTAAGAACAAAGAAACAGAGGCTCAGAGGGGTGATTAACACTGAGATCACACAGCTGCTGCCAGTGGAGCTTATGGATTCTGGGTGCTGGTCCCTGAGAGCACACTGGACATGGAGAGGGCTCAGTGGTCACTGCTGTTTCCATGCAACAACTCTTTATCCCACATCTGCTTGTGCTGGGCACTGTGCTGGGAACTGTGGACATGGTGGAGGCTCAAAGAAGACTCTCTGTCCCCAGTTTTGTGTGGCATGTGTGCAGGGGATAAAGGTGGTCCCCAATAAGTTCCCTGCCCAGAGTTTGGTGTGCATTTTGTCAGAGGAACAATGTTATACTTGGTACACAAGAACCCCGAGTAGCTCCTGGAACCCATGCCTCTCCCACTTGAATGAGCACACGTGTCACCTGGAGGTCCTGCTGGACTCTGATCCCTGACTCAGAAGGTCTGGGTGGGGCACAGGGACCCGTATTTCTAGTCAGTTCCCTGGTGATGCTGGGCTGAAGGTCCATGGAGCACACTTTGAGTGCTAAGGTTCTAAGCCACAGGTTCTCAGCCCTGACTGCACATTAGAATCACCTGAGGGAGCTTCTGAACAATACCTATGCTGGGGACCCTAACCTAGACCCAGTGAAATCAGAACCTGCATCCTCACAGAAAATGTTGATGAGTGTTCACAGCAGCATTATTCAGAGCAGCTAAAAATGAAAAAGCCCAAGTGATCATCAACTGATAAAAAGATAAAAGCAATGTGAATGCCATGGAATAGCATTTGGCCATGACTCACACTACCATATGGATGAACCTTGGAGACATTACACTAAGTAGAAGAAGCCAGTCATGGAATACCACATGTTCTGTGATTCCATTTATATGCAATGTCCGGAACAGGAAAATCTATGGAGACAGAAAGCAGATGAGTGGCTGCCCGGGAATGACTGTTCACTCAGGTAAGGGGCTTCCCACCGGGGTGACGAAAAAATGTTCTGGAATTAGATTTCGGTGATATGGCTCAGCTTCGTGACCAGCCAACCGCACTTGAATGTATACTCTAAATCTGCCAAAAGAAACAAATACTTCTGAAGATCCAAATTAGCTTAAAATAGTGGTTCTCAAATTTTGACATGCTTTAAAATTATCTGGAGGGCTTATGAAAATGCAGATTGCTGGGCCTATCCCAGGTCAAAGGCAGGGACCAAATACCCAGGCGATGTGGGTGCTGCTGGGGTGGACATCTCACTGCACAAACAGGTCACACAACACTTGAAATGATCAAATCTTTCCTTTTTTAAAGAATGTAAACAACCAGACCAAAGACTACCAAGCTTTCTTTTCTACTTGCTAACTGTATGCATTGAACAGCAAGCATTCCTTTCTACTCTTTGATGAGTTTAAAAATAAAAAAATAAAGATTCAAATGACTATTTACTGCTGAATGAGAAGTTTCGGTTCTAATCCCATAAATCAGAAATCAAGTTTGACACGAGATTCCCGAGAAAGGAAACATCAGCCCTCACAGCAGCCGGGCATGCCTGGGCCCTTCTTTATTTCAGAGATCTGCAGAGATAACGGTGGGTTGCCGTGGGTTCAACATAATCCTCTGAGCCTTAAAAATGGCTTCAGGTGCAGGCACTCATTTTTTTTAATACAATAGCCACTAAAAAATAATGATGATGGTGCGTCTCCCTTTGGTGTCACACCTGCAGGAAAGGATTATGCAACAAAAGGATCTGGGACGTACGTCATTGTGCCACCATTAATGATATTGCTTCTCTACCTGGCCTAAATTTAAACATGGTTCCGACTAAAAAAAATAAAACCAACATACTTTGATTACATTTAATCATATACACTACAGCATTTACAAAATAAGAGGATTGTAAGATGATGGCATAAATGGAGAGATAAAGAAAGATAAAAAATGATTTCAAATATCCTTGTTAGTGACCATTTTTTGTTGTTTTCCTATTTCAAACCTGTCCTTTCTCTCAATGTTTCTTTACCCCTAGACATGGTCATGAATGTGATCGTAACTTCTTATACAGTAAATTCATCTTAAATTTTGGATTAATCTTACAATAAAAGAATTTTTCATACAAGAAAAGCTAAACACTTCCAAAACAGGGTTTAAGCCCTAAGTACCTGGGTCATTCCACAGCTTTTAGATTGGTTTTGAACACTAAGGATGGCACTGACTAAGAAAAGTCCATCTCTACTGTGCAAGGGCTGAGCATTGTCTTCATTTCCTTCAGAGACATAAAAATGTTCATGATTTTCCACTACTCATACCTTAGTTATTTAGTCTAATGCTTGTGAATACTAGCAAATTTAATTGAGAGGGATTTAACTAGGGGTATTAGGTAAAACTTTCTTCTCTTTTACTACCAAATGGAACATTTGACATGTATCAGTTTTTATCTTCCAGACAAGAGTATGAAGAAAACAAATGACAAAAGTGAACCATTCTGGTCCCTGGTGGATCTCCCTAATTATACTGTTAGCACCGCCTAGAGAACAGGACAAATCCCTATCTCTCTCTCTCTGCCATATATATACATATATATACATATATACATGTATATATGTATATATATGTATATATACATATATGTATGTATGTATGTATATGTATATATACATATATGTATGTATGTATGTATATATGTATGTATATGTATGTGTATGTATGTATATGTATGTATGTATATGTGTGTACATATATACGTGTATATATATATATATATGTGTGTGTGTGTGTGTGTGTATTTTTTTTGGTAATTCAAATAGACCCTGTACCCTGGGCTATGCAGAGAGTAGGAACTGAAGAAGAGCTTATTAAATAAAGAATACCTTTTTGAGCTATCAGCAAGCCAAACATTGTATAATTCCATTGACATAAAATGCTCAGAACACGTAAAGTCACGGAGACAGAAGTAGATTAGCGGTTGCCAGGGGCCGGGGGAGAGGAGACTGAGCAGTGCTTGCTACCCGGTACAGTGTTTCCTTGTGAGGTGATAAGAAAATGCTCTGGAACTTGGCAGTGGTGATGGTTGCTTCATGTTGTGAATGTACTTAATGCCAATGAATTGTACATTTCAAAAAAGTGAAGTCAATTTATATTATGTGATTTTTACATCAAATTTAAAAAACACAGCAGGCCAGATTGCAAAATACTAACTGCCACTTATAATGACCATTACTTATGTATTTCTCCTTTCCAAACCTAAACCCTGCCCCCACCAAAGCACAAACCTCACTAAATGGTTGCACATCACTTCATAATAGAGAGCGGAACCATCTGCTCCCTTCAAACGTCACCTCAGTGCCATTATGGTCAAGCTTTACCAGGCATTCATGGATAATGAGAAGGCAAAATATCCAAGAATCCAGTACATCTCCCTGCAAATAATGATCAATCAGCAAACTGCACTTGTTTCTCTGTTGCATTTGCACCCGTGTGGGTTATTCTGAGAGACGATTATGCAGTGAGATTTGCAGTCACCAAATCAGAGCCTCATCAATAGCTAAGCACAGAATGGTCCTCCCCATCCACCGAATTGGCCCTTTCAGGACCTGCTCAGCTGCACTGGCCCAGGCTGTTCATGGAAGTAAAACCCCCAGAAAGTGGACTGAATGTGGCCCCAGCAGAGGGAGACAAGAAATGGGGAGGCCTGAGAACTAGAAAATTCAGAGTGCTGGGCTGAGAGGAGCCTACAAAGAGAGGGGAAGCTAGCCTCATCATCAGTCATTTAGCAAGTGGAACAGGGCAAAGACAAACAGTCCATTCTATCAAGTGATCTTTTCTCTCCCAGAAAAGCTTAGATCCAGAAGATATGCCCCAGGGGCTTCTCCCACTATGAATTTTCCCATATCCTAAAGACTCATCTTCCATTTATTTTTAGCACCCCACTATCAGATGTTTTCAGAGAGCACCTCCTCCTTATAACTGCTGCTTTGTTGTGCAGTTAATTACACTCCCAATGATGAGCGTTTGAAAAATCCTGAGACAATTAAGTGCGAGAGAAGCCTTCCAAGCCAGAATGCTGAGCTGAGCACCCACTTCCTTGAGACATTCAGCTCCAGACTGGAGGCACATCTAGCCTGGGAGACTCGGAGGCCCTAGCTGGTTAAGGGAGCACGTTAAATATAAAACAAATGAAAGATACCTTGTGAGCTCTTCTTTAATCTTCAGGGGTTCATGTGGGTAGAATTTCACTCTAAAGCACATGGTGTATGGTGGATGAGCTGAAACATCATAAAGAAAAGGCATGAGAAAAGCAGCAAAACCATGGACTCAAACACACACAGGAAAGTCAGCTGTGAAGCCTTATAGTCTGGCTTGGGGGATGGGGTCAGGGTGAGGGGGATTTTTCTGGATGAAGCAGGTATTATGCCCAAGAAAACAAAGCCACTGTGGAAACAAAACTCAAAATTCTCAACAGGACACCCAAGCCAAATGCAGGCAGGATGCAGGAGACCTAGTCCGGCAGCACGTCTTTCCACGCCAGGGCTCCCCTCACTCCTCCATTCTCTCGGGGTCCCAGCTTCAGGCAGCAGTCTCTCCTGCAATTCTTCCCACCCCATCCTGACACACTGAGCATAAGCACCATTTAGGTTTTTGGCCTAATAAAATATCCTTTAGGCCTTGACGTGGAAAAATGTCACTGCACGTGACTAGCTTTCCCAAAGCAATGGTGACAGTGAACTAAATTTGAGATATTTAAAATGGAGTCAGCCATGCACAGGTCCTACTTTGTATATCTTTCATATTATTTTAGTGTTATCTATCTACGAGGCAGTTATATGAAAATAAATATTTTTATAAGTTGCTGATCTGCCTAAATCAAGATAGTACTATGCAGCCCTGGCCGGTGTGGCTCAGTTGGTTGGAGTGCTGTGTCGTAAACTGCAAGGTCATGGGTTCAGTTCCTGGTCAGGGTACCTGCCTAGGTTTCAGGTTCAATCCCTATTGGGGCACATTCAGTAGACAACCAATCAATGTTTCTTTCTCTCCCTCTATCTCCTCTGTCTGGAATCAATGAATATATCGTTGGGTGAGGATTAAGAAAAAAAAAAGATAGTACTATGCAGGCTGAAACTATGGTTGAGATCCATGATTCTGGAATGTTCTAATTACATTAAATATCCAGAACTTAATGACCAGCTAAGGGGATTCTACAAGGTTTCTGACACTTTTAATTATAAGACCACTGTTGACTTGTAGTATTAACCTAAAAAATGTACGCAAGCACAGTAAAATGCATGCAGATTTCAGGTAACATATAAAATGAGCATCTTACAATCAAAGAAATATGATGGTTGGTATTACTATCTCTACAGATCTAACATACCCACCCATTTCTCACCTTTGTATCAGTATGGCTACTTGGGATCAGCTCTGAGTCTCCATCTATGAAACAACATCCTACTCTTCCCCAAACCTCTGTTCTTCCCCAAATCCCTTTTCATTATAAACAGGGGTTAAATCACCAGCCAGCTCTACAATGTCTGGGGCTATTCTGTATGCAGACAAATTCTTTAGGTAAAAACGTCTATTGGCATGAAATAAGAATGTATAATGAGGATAATTTAATAAGGAAAACAATTCTTAAAAATAATTTGAAAGAAAGCACCCAAGTCACAGGGAAACAGCAGTATCTTGCTGGCTATCTCAGCAAAGAAAAACTGATTAAATATACACACACATGCACACATATGTCAGAGCTCTCAATTCAATGCTCTGCTTCCCCACCAGGAGCTAGCAAACTTCTTAGCTGATTCGGGGGCTCCTAACCCAACCCTGTGTTCCCTAGATTTAAGAAAGGAAACACTTTTCTGGAACACAAGGAGAAAATGGACACCTCCTACACAGCAACAAAACATGAAGAAAAAAACAAGTGATTCTTAAATCTTTCATGACACCTAGAAATTCAGTTTCACCTCACAATATTTTATCTTTACATGTTCCCTAGATTTCTTTAAATTGTTTAAACCATCACCTTTAAAAAATTAAAACTAATGAGTATTTTATTATACAACCCAAGGATTGTCCCTATTAGAAAGGTTGAAGAGATTTTGTAAGGGAAGAACAACAGAGCAAAAAAACAGAAATAACATAAGGAAGTTTTTTCCTTCCTTTCATTAAAGTTCTCAAAATTATACATGTTTAAGCACAACCAATGAAGGAAGATAGACAGGTGGGGGAGGGGGAGAGAAAGAGAGAGAGAGAGGCCATTCCCTTTCACTTTCCTTCATTTTGTTTCTATTTTTTTCCCCATCTGTACCTCAGGTCCCCACCCCACCTCAAACTTTCCACCACTATTAATGACTTTGTCTATATTCTTGCAGCCCTTTTACATCTTCATCCAAATACATGCCAACATGATTACATATGTGAGAGATTTTTTTATAATTTAGTCTCACAAGACAAGATCATACTACAGATGTTTCTCTTGCTTTTCTCACTTAATTCTATATTCTGCCCACCCCTCTAGGATGGTAAAGGTCTATACTAACTGCATAATAATTCATACTATGAATAAACCAGAATTTACTCCACTACTTCTGCTCTTCTTTTATCATCATTCAGGTTATTTCCATCTTTTTGCAATTCAAACTATATAAATATATATACACACATGTATACTTATAAAAGAATAAATGTATATTTGTTTACATATTTGTACAAGGACATATGCACAAGGATATATATTTATAAAATATATAATTGTGTATATATCATTGAGTACTTGTGTTTTTATTTCTATAACACGGCCTTCCAAAATTTGAACTGTTGGGTCAGTAGGTATGGGAACATATCTTAAAGAGTCCAAAACAATAAAGTCACAGAAGAAGGTCCCAAGCTAAAGCTGCCATTTTTTTCTCCCACCTCGTCAGCCTGCCTGTTTACCGTGACCCAGGCTGGCTCCAACAGTGATCTGAGCTCACTGCACTCATCCCAAGGATCAGGTAGTGAGGCTCACAGGCAACACCCCAGGCAGCATCTTTGAGGACCTCTGACTGTAGAAGTGCTTCCACCCAGTCATCCTTGTTCCAGGACCTTGAGCTCCAGAATGGTCCGATGCTTCTCCTACATAAAGAGCTCTTCCATCCTTTGAAAATGGTTCTGATGGTCCTTCTGAGTCTTCTCTAAAATAAACATCCCCAGTTCTTTTAACTGTTCCTCATGTGAAACAGTTTTGAGTGCCCTTACCTGGGCATATTCCTGCCTACTCTGCATTTCCTCAAGCATGGTGTCCCAGGGTTGCCACATCTGCTCAGGTAAGGGGACTATCACCAGCATCACATTGGACATAATTGTTACAATATTGGACATAACCATCACATAAACCTCTGAAGTGTTTTTCTTTCAGAGTCATCCAGTATCAATGACCCCAATAAAAGAAGGAGTTTCCCTGTAAGGAAAGGAGCACCTGATTGTCACATAGTGAACCACAAGCAGCACCAGGGACCAGTACTGACAAGAAGCTCAACCCCATTGCCCAGGCCTGAGGAAGTGGCAGCAGGCTTCTCCTTGAAGAACTCACTCGAAGGACTAGATGCAAAATTATATTATAAAGCAAGCGGTAAAGCTGATGAAGTCTTCTTCACAGAGTTGGAACAAGCTAAAAAAAAATAAATAATTTCCCCCCCCAAATGTTGATCTAGTTATTGATGACAAGATTTATGAGGGCATGGACCTATATGTCTTATTCAGCTTTTTATCCCCAGAGCTTATTACTGATAAAAGATTGACTCTCCACCTGTCTGGTTGAATGAATGAATGAATGAATGATCCCCAATATTTCAGGGAAATGTCAAGAACAGCCAGCCCTTTTATCACATTCACCCCATCAAAATATTTCCATAGTCTGAGTTATCATGGCGATTTCCAGGGTTTTTATTTGAAAATTGATGGTCATACAGCTCAACTTCTGTCCTTCAATATTTGGAACAAATTTGGGGACTCTAGGGTTGGTTAGAATAGCTACTTCTAGAGAAAGGATTAATTAATTAAATCAACAAATACTTCTTGGGTACCCACTGGGTACCAAGCACAGGTTTAGATATACAAATAATAGCAACTATAAAGAGAACAAAATTCTGTCTTCATGGAAAACACATTCTGGTGGGATTTTATATACAGATAAAAAATCAAAATAAATAAGATATATAGGACATTCAAAGGTAATAAGTGCTATGAAAAACAATAAAGCAAAAAGAATGTAAGTGCTGAGAAAATACCACCCCAACTTCTGTTCCCTTTTTTCATCCTGACTATAACCAAATCCATGAAAGTAAGCACAATTCTATTTTCTACCTTCTAGAAAACCAAATAAGAGATAAATCTAATCATTTAAGATTTTAAATTGTTAAACAAGAAGATGGGAAAAAAGTCACCCCCAAATATGTTGGCACTGGTTTGGGATCAAAATCCCAGCTTCTGAGCACTGGCATGTACCCTATCAGCTGCATGAATGCTGAAAAAAGAGACTCCCTGGTCAACAGCTAGCATTCACTCCCTGGAACACGTCTAAGGTCACAGTCCCCTTGTGGAGATGAGCTTGTCCTCTTCTCCAAACATCTAAGTGTCTCTTCCATTTCAGCATCCATGTCTTCTTATTCTTAAACTACAGAGAGAGATGAAGTAAAGGACGACTCTTATCTGCGCCAAACATTTGGTGCATAATCAGTATTTACACATATCTAATGAAGGACTTATCTGCAGAGCAGGAAGCACCTGGCATGGAGGTAACACGTGGGCAATAAAACCACACTGTACCCTGGGGCCCCACCCCGATCGTGTCGTCATGGGCAGCCACTGTGCATCTCCACCAGACTAGACAGCACGGTCACCCCATGGGGGAAGACACTGCAGAGCATCTCCATTGTGGAACTGAAGCTCCAGCTGCAGTGACAGAGACACATGAGGTGGTGACATCCCCAAATTTCCCAGCGGATGAGCCCCTGAATTTTGAAGGGGACTTCCAACAGTGACCTTGAGCAAGCCAGCAAACTTCTCTGTGTCTGGCTCTGGAAAAGGGGGCAGCACCAGGGGCCATTTCTACTTCCCATGGGTGTTTGAACAGATTCAGTGGGCTCTTGGCACCAGCACACAACACATCTAAATGCAAGCTTTTGTTTTGTGGGGGTAAACACTCCCACCTGGAGAACAAAAGGGGCAGTTGGAAATGGGAGGGGGTAGATGGAGAAGGCTGCATTAAATTCAACAACTCAACAGCTGA